ACACTCTGACAACAGGAGTGATGAGTCCTTTGTAGGACAAGGTCACACAGCCACAGGAGTCGCCTTCATCCACCTTGGTAAATAGCATCTCTCCGGTTCTGCTCAGAAGCAGTGGCCGACAGTAGGAGACAAAATTGATATTTGATTTTGTGCAGGCGCACTGATCAATACACCGATGCACGGTGCTATGTGGATTATGCCTGTAAAATAACATTAGAAAGGGAAATGTCTGTCTGTAAGTTGTTTGTTTTAAATTTTGGCTGTATTGAGGGCACAGACGAAAACCTCGGTAATTCTCTTGAGCCTGAAGCTGGGAACGAGAGCTGTGAGAACAATTATGATAATGTTCACAGAGAAGACATAAAGAATTATTAATGTGCAGACGACTACAATGTCAGCATGTTGTGAAATCTATAAAAAAAAGTCATATCATTTTTTGATTGATGCTACTTTTTTTCCGCTTTTCATGAGTTATTTTTAGCTAACTGTTAAAGACTCTACCAGCTATAACTCAATACAATGTAAGCATCTCTCTTTGCTGAGGTCTTTTTTTTTAAAGTAACTTTTGTTACGGATTCCCCCTGGGAGGTTTAGGTGGAGCGGATCCAAATGCAGCAAAACACAGAGGGAAGAGGGTTAGTGCAGTTTATTTACAGTGTCCAAGGGAGTGGATACAAAATGTGAATCGTTGAGTCGCGATTCATACGACTAACAACGAACAAGAGCTGGCCACGAGTTACCAAGTCGGCGTGTACAACACTGGCTCTGGCTTCACGGTGTCTGATCACATAAATACTCGGCACGGTGATCGACTGCAGGTGCACGGCCTCTGTCCTCTGCTCCGATCACTCGAAACCTGGTGACGATCCATTCACCACCAACTGAACACCAACCCTAATTCAAATATCCATGATTAATCGGATTGAAAACTTGACTCGTTTTATGTGTTTGGTCTTTGTACAGCGACACCAAAGGACACATGAAGTATCCCTTTAAAGCAGGGGCCTCAAACTCAATTTACCTGGGGGCCGCTGGAGGCAGAGTCTGGGTGAGGGTGGGCCGCGTAAGGGATTCCACAATAAAGTTAAAAACAAAAGTCCTCAAATGTTAACAGTTAACAGTTTTAATGATTTCTTCTGAACATGAAGTGTTTTGAACATGAATGGAACATTGAGTGAAAATCATGAACGGTTCTTCTGAACATGGCTCCTCTTGCCTACTCCTTGCTGCCAGATACTTGACAGCGCTTCTTTTCACAAATCTGAACCACATTTGGCTTGAGAGAGGAAGCAGTTGAGACCCTCAGTATGGCTTGAAGATGATCATCAGTAAGTCTAAGACCTGTACTTGGACTTATTGAAGTTCAGCTCAGGGAAGTTGGGGGGCAATTCTCTCAAAAATTGCCCATGCTTGTCTGCTTTTCCACTCATCTCCCTGAACTTGGCTTTGAGGTGTACTTGGACTTATTGAAGTTCAGCTGAGGGAAGTTGGGGGGCAATTCTCTCAAAAATTGTTCTGTAGCTTCAAAATATCATCTCTGCGTCTCCCACTTTTCTTGAAATTGTCTGTGCTCGTCACCAACCTTTCTCTTCACTGCAGGCTTTGATGAAGACATGACTGGGGTATGACAAAATCTCATTGATTCCGCTTAGTAGCGCTGTTGTTTCACCTTTCAAACAAGTTACACGCCGTGCTGTTGTTGCAAGCGTGAAGTGCACGAAGCTGCTGTAGCTTAGCCGAGCTTGCTGATTGGCTCTTCGGAGGTCCACTTTCTCCGCGGGCCACACTAATATTATACCTTCATATTAAGGTGCGGGGCCACAAAATATTGTACTGCGGGCCGCACTTGGCCCCCGGGCCGCGAGTCTGAGACCCCTGCTTTAACGCATCAAATTTGGACTGCACTCTGCCTTCTACAGAGTTTCTTTAGATAAATGCAACTGCAGCTGCCAGAGAGCCCATACCACCATAAATATCATCAGACCAGGAGACAGCCAGGGGAATGGAGCAGATAAAATGATACCTCCCCCTGGTGACAATCTTCCAGTAGCTGTATAAGTGAGATAGCAACGTGATGAACTTTAACTGACACCAGTGGACATTCATCAAGGGCAGTAACTTTAATGGCCCCCTCCAGACTGTAGACCTGAAATCCCTACTTTCAATTCAGGAAGATGGGACACTTAAACGCAACGCGACTACAGTCACAGACCGCAGCTGTACATCGGTGGTCAAGGTATTTTACAGCCTACGGTAAAGAGGACATCGTATTAGAGCACACACACAGTTTAGGCTTGTTGAAAGTTGTTTATCTGTCTGTTCCCTCGTGAGCTCAACGCCGTTCATGTTTAAGAGTGTGAAGCATGACAAAAAATTAAAAAAAAAAAAAAGAGGACAGAAAACTCCAGAGAGGAACTGCCTGTCGACAGCTTGTCAAGTTCAGAAGCGCCTTCGGAGCAGGCCTTTGCTTTTTTTCTTCTTCTCAGATCTGTGAACGGTGCCTACAGACTCATCGTGCACATTAGCACAGACAACAAAGATGTGATGTATACACAACATGTAAACAGCAGAGGCACGGAGCTATCACCAGGGTGCATTTGTGTCAGTTACTGTCTATAATTTATGAAAATCACTGGAGGAGCCAACCTCAAGGTAATGTAAACAATTATTGTGAAAACAATAAACTCAAAAACTCCATCATCAGACCAATCACTGGGGCAATGTGAAGAGCTTGAAATGGAGCTTTCTTCCTCTTTTTTTGCTGTGAGTCATTAGGCAGTAATGAATGATGTGACTGTGGGTTCGTTGATCTTAAACTGTGCCGTGCACATGGTTACATAATTCACACCAAATACATTTTCCTGCCTCTACTCTTCCGACCTGTTTTGCTCTCATTCCTCGGGCTCGCTTCCCTTCTTCCTCACTCCTTCCCACTTTCTTTTACCGCCCTGCATAGGAGGCACATACACCGCGCAGACACATAATGGCGTTCCGTGAATGTGGAGACTACTTCACTTTCATGGGTAAAAGAGACACACTCTAAGGAAGCAGATGGCAGCTTTGAAATGTGCCGTAACCCTATCAATACATGTGGAGGCAGCGCCCGCATACATAGAGAATACGGCTGGGTTATTTTAACCCCCGTGTCATCGTCTGCATGCAGTACACATTCTAATTCACTGGTGTTCTGGATGTATTTTTTTCTTCTCAAACCAAAAAAAAAGAAAAAAAAAAAGATGTGTGTAGGTGAGTCCAACATGCTCACAAACATGTGTCGCACACTTCGTTGAATTACATTTTTTTACAACTTTAATATGTATTTTTCACAACATATTAGTCATAACAAACTACATTACTGCCTACTTCTGGTCAGTGGTCATGTGACAGTTCAGTGATGTCACCAGGGCAGTACACGAGCCTTCTTGTTGTAAGCCAGTGGTCCCTAACCTTTTTTGTACCGGTCGACCGGTGTCAGCCGTTACTGTGTACTGGGAATACCACGCCATCTGGAAGGATTAGAAATGTTCAAAACAAAACATGTTCTGTTAGTATCAGGGTCTGAATGAAACACTGTCAGATGATCTTTAAATGAAAAAAGTAGAGGGATATGACTGGATTCTTTTTGAATGAAGTAAATTAGTCAAACTGAAGGACATTTTGTCCCACTGCAGCCTACTACCAAATGACGGCACCGGTCCACAGACCGGGGGTTGGGCACCCCTGTTCTAAGTTACCCTAAAAGATGTGGAAGTGACACATGAGTTTTTTTCATTTCATTTATTAGTATTAATACTCAATTTAATGAATACTCGAGTGAGTATCGTAAACCGTCATCCAAAATGAAACTCATGGAATCGATCCTCCCATCACGTCACTACATGTGTTAGTACATTTGACAAAAAGTCCAAAATAAGCCCTTATTTTTTATTTGGGTCTTTTGTACATTTAGTGTTTAAACCAAATAAAAAAACACAAGCGGATGAGAAAACATCTCTGGGGAATGAACAAGTGAACTACCCTGATAGGCTTTTTACTTCTGAGTACCAGCATTCGAATCCACGAAATAACCTTCAGCTAATACGTACTGTGTATTGACCTCATCGGTTTTAACAGCGCACTTGCAGCAACTTGTCCTGCAATACTTCAACGTTAAGGACACGTCAATAACTGCGTTATAATAATGTGGCGATGCTATGCTACTTGTAAGGTCACATGAGCGTCAGTATCTCGTTCACTCCGATGGTGATTTCAGATAGAGTAAAAATAGACAACAGACTTTGGTTTTCACTTGAAGTCCAACAGCCACTCGTTGATGCTGCTTTTTCTTTTTGCTTTTTGGTAAACACAAACTAAATTTCACATCTGGCAAATGAAAAGAGGTGATTGTAACCTGAGTGCTTTTGACTTTGATTATCAGTGAGTTGCACTGGCCATAAAACGGACTTGGCTGAGCTCCTAAAGCTCTACACTGTCCCCAGTGAACTGTGAAGCAGTGGACTCGGCCGCTGCGTGCAGGCAGAGGCATCGGCTGGAAGATTAGTGCCATAACTCACTCATAAATGACAAGCTTTGTGTTTGTTTGTTTGTTTTTTGCATTGAAGGACTGCCAGTGCGAGCAATGACTACTCTTGTTTTGTTTTTTTTTAATCTCCCTTCTCTCCATTGGTGCTTATATGGAGTGTGTGATGTGTGGTTGTGCTTACTTTTGGGAATATACACTTATTACATACACCGCATGTTTAAAAGAACCTTCTATGATGTTGAGAATGGAGTTTAGAGTTGGGTTAGAATTAGGAAAATAACTTTTATGGAACATATGTTTATTTCTATGTACATTTAAGTCATTGTGTACGTCAAACATGAACCTGTGCTACATTTCCTTTCTCTCGCTTGTGTGTTGTTGTTTTTGGGAACTTGTTGCCCTTCATTGTGGCTCCCAGGTGTAAGTTAGCCTCTTCTGACGTTTTTATGTAGTGGTAGTTCCATGGTACAGCGGTCAGAACACCTGCCTTGCAAGCAGAGTCCTGGTTTAAAAAAAAAAGTTAAGCCAACCAAAAACGTCACGTCCTGGGGAGTAGGTAAATAAACGGACGCACTCCACACGTGACGACGACTTAGTTTGACACTTTGTTTTAAAGTTTAAATGAAGACGAAACGTCTGGTTGCTATGTTTATTCAAGTTAAAAGGCTGGACATCATGATGTGGTTTTGTGTGTTGCTGCCGCCGCCCACTGCCTCCTGTTTGCTGCTGCAGAGCTCTCAACTCCCACCAACACTTTTCTTCACTCCCCGTCTCTATACCTTTCAATTTTCACCTACTACATTTCCTCTCCATTTTAATCTTCTTTACAGGCTGATGAGGGATTGAACGCACCCCTGCAGTTTTGGGGGGAGCCTGGAGGTGAGACGTGCGGCTGTCACTATAGTCGTCACTTTGGAATATCGAGGGGGGAGGACGGCGGTGAATCGGAGGGGAGCTCCGGATAGGACGGTAGGAGCCGTGAAAACCACATCACTCACCGTGGATTGAGCTCCCTCCCTCCGCTCTCTCTCTCTCTTTCTCTCACCCTCCCTAGTCTGCAGCCTCCAAGAACAGCCGCCGCATCATTTTTTTTCGTGAGCATCTGCCCCCTCCCTGTACCACCACCTCCTCCTCCCTCCATCCGCTCTCTCCTCTCCATCTCCCTTTCTGCTGCTGCTTGCAACACTGTGGGAATGCAGCGAAGGTAAACGAAAAAAAGCGCACCCTCTTTTTCTCTTTCTTTCTTTCTCCCCTTTTCCCACCCACTAAATGTCGGATCTATCATCACCCAGACAGTGACGGACTGCAGACAGCCGGACGCACACGCACTCGGCTGTCACTCCAGGAGACAGGAGTCGGGCGGTCGTTCCAGGATCAAGTGGATTTAGCCCGACACTCCGGACATCAGCACCGCCCAGTCTGTGGCTGATCAGCGTCAGGTCTCTCTCGGCTCCTCTGCTTATCCACATTCTGCCCTTGCTTCAGTTTCATTTGCTTTCCTCCACCCCCCCTCCAGCCCCCCTTCCGTCACTCCTCGTCTGGATTATTAGGAACAGCTGGGAGAAAAGGGCTGGTCGGGCAGGGAGAAGTACGGCTCTGTCGGGCGTCAAACTTGAGATACCTGCAGGAAGCGAGAGAAGTCGAGGCGTTGGGGAGGTGGAGGAGCAGCCGGCGGTGTTTTAATTCTGAGGATTCTTTATGCGGCCGATAATCAACCGTCAGAGAGGTTGTTGGTGCTATGCTACAGCCTGGGTTGTTGATGCACATGGATTTACAGCTCCAACGTGAAGCTCGGCACGCAGCGGATCAATATTCCACCCCACTCTTTTACGCGTCTGCCTTTTTCAACATGCGACTGAGACATGCTGGGATTAACCATCATTAATCTGAACTAGCGAGGCATCCACCACACCTCCGGCTCTCACCTGTCCATAACCTGTGTGCAAAAGTGTGTATAGTTTAGTGCGTAGTGTAGTGTTAGTCCGTGTGTGTGTGTGTGTGTTTGTGTGCGTGCTTGCGTTTGCTTGTCCGCCAGGGGGAGTGTGGCTCATTTTGCTTGTGTCTGCATTTGTGTGCTGTGGCAGGTTTTAACTAACGGTGTCCATACGTCACTGAGAGCGACTGCGTCTGCTCTTTTCTGCATATAAACGTGTCAGGTGTTAAGTCTTTGCATGTAGTTAAATTTCTGTATTAAGGACTTGGGCTTTGAATGTGTCCTCTAGCTTAAGATGCCAAGCTACCATTTCACAGCACATCAGCTGCCTAGTTCACCGCCTTGTGTTTTTTGGTCACCTGTTTGACCTAGCCCTGAACTCACTAAAGAGACGGAAACTTCAATCATGATGAGTGAGCGTACGAGCACCCTGGCATCCATGACACTGGAGGAGCCGGGTGCTGAACAGGCATCACCCCGAGCCCCGGGCCCTCTTCGATGCGGCCCCTGTGCGTTGTGGCCTCGCCAGCAGACCTGGCTTTGTGCAGTCCCTCTGGTCATGGGCTTTGTGGGTTTGGGGCTCAGTCTAATGTTGTTGAAATGGATTGTGGTGGGGTCTGTCCAAGACTATGTTCCCACTGACCTAGTGGACCCCAAAGTCAGCATTGGACAGGATCCTATATTCCTCTCTAAACCCAGTGCCATGCCCAAAGGCCCTGACATTTCCACAGCCACCACTATTTCAGCAGCTTCAACCACAACAATGGTGTCTACTACCACGCTGCTAGCCGCTGATGGTACTGCTTCAGCTCCAAGAACTCGAGTTGGGCCACCGGCGAACCACTCGGCCAATGGCAGCAATGCCATTGGAGATGGCAACAGGGCCCCGCACCTTCATAATCGTGTCGGCACCCACATCAGCGGCACCGTGGTCACCACTGCTACTACACGTCCCACTCGACTCACACCTCCACCCAGTGGCAAGGAGGCCACACCTCGCAGCACTGTCAGAAAAGGGAGCGCTTCAGATAATGGACACAGTGGAGCTGCTAACTCGAAGCCAGGACAAACTACCGCCGCATCTGCTTCAACTACCACAACTGTGAAGACCAGTACCAAGATGCAGCCGACCACCTCCCAGCCGGCGCCCCCAGTCAAACCCACATCTCGCTGGGGCCATGGACGACCTGGCAAGGGCCCTGCAACCCGACCGCACCACCGCTTCCGCAATCGTAAGTACTGGGGTTGGGCGAGGGAAATAGTTTGAAAAGTGCAAAATATTAATAATATGTGACCACAGCAGGTGTCCCCCTTTATATAACTCTGTTTTTAGTTTAAATTATGCTTCAATTTACCACACAACTCAGGATATAAATCATTTGACTTTATATCTACATGGACAGGATACCCTGGCAGCTTAACTTAATCGTATTCATTAGCACTGTCAGATATCAGGGGGTATTCTCAGTTTCTTCACCCCTCTCCTCATTATCTTTTACTTATGAAGTAATCCGATATAAATCTTACCTCGGGAGGTGAGTTCTCTTTTTTTTTTCTTTTTTCTTTTACACTCTCGTTGAACCTTCATTAAAGACATCGCTCCAGCAAGTAGAATTTTTCTTTGTCCATGTGATGTTGGACATTGAAGCTTTGTGACCCCTCTACTGTGACAAAAGACAACATATATAGATGTGGAAAAACAAATAAATGGAGTCATTGAAGTGGTCTAGTGGGGAAAGTGTTCTTTCCTGTCGTGAGGAATAAGATAAAGCAAGGCCACAAAGTCTTTCAAGATGGGACTGTACTGACAGTGGAGTGCCGCAGGTACTGCCTTCACACTGCAGGGAGATACTGAGAGGGGATCTGGGCGAAGGAAAAGGCTCAGAGGGGAAAATAGATACGGGGATGAGAATAAGGTTGTAGAGGACAAGTGTAAAAGGACGCGGCGGGGAAGAGAGGCGTAGAGAGGAAAATGCATTGAAAAATAAAGCTAAAGAGGAGGGAATGAAATGGAAGCCAGTGCGGGATGTGTAACAAAGCAGTGGAATAAGGAGTGGGAGCTCTGAGTAAAGAGAGATGGCAGATGGAGTAGGCTAAGTGAGGAAAAGGCTGGAGGGAGATAGAGGATATAAAGCAGGAGAGCTGTGAATTTTGCATATTTAGCGTTGTGGGAAGAAGGAAGACTTCCTGATTATTCATTCCACAGGGGACACGCTTTTAACATTGAAGAGATTTCTTCATACGTAGGCAGCCCTGGATGGAGGAAGTGTAATTATGATTTCTGACTGGAGATGACACCAGTGAAGTTTGTGATTTTCCTCGGTTCTTTCTACTTTTATGTAAGGTAGTTAAAAGTATTATTTCAAATTTTGAAGTTTATTTGATCCTGCCATGTCAGTACATTACCATGTTGTGTTACTACGTGCAGTCCAGTGACGAACAGGGGCTGTGACCCTCGTCGTAGCAATATTATCCAGTGAATGGATTTTCAATGGCAGCTCTCTTCCTGTGTTTGTTTTTTATATATATATATATATATATATACACAGTAAAGCACTCTAGAGGCCAATGGCACAACGTCAATATGGAAACCGATTCCTCCACAGTTGGACAGATCATATCATTTTTCCTGCTTCTCCCTTTACCTGCTTGAAAAGTCATCATTTGCAAGTGAATAACATTTTCTCTTAACCTGAGAAAAAATAAAATTACACCAAAGAGTAAGTTTGGCAAATTTTGACCTTTTTTTAAAAAAAAAAAAAATAAGTTTGGCAAATTTTGACCTTTTTAAAAAAAAACCAAAACACTTCCTACCTACGCTATAAAAGCCAGTACCTGAGTTCAGCTAAAGTCCCACCAGGAACAGTGGTGACACAGGAGTGGAGATGCCCATAGGCTGTCCCCAGACTTCTCCTGCAGCAAAAACCACTGCTCCAGAGTTAATTACGTCACTCACCAGAGAGCCCACAGAACAGCTGAAGGCTGCCAGAGAAGGCAGCCCCCATGTGAGAACACCAAAAAGCATCTGTTTATCCTGCACTAGCTTTAATAATGAAAACACACACACATAGCAATCCCTCCCTCCATTGGTTGTTTTGGTTGGCTTGATAACGAGGTGCCGGATTTCTGGTGGACTTGTGGGAGCAACATTTTAGATAGAGATTCATGCAACAGTATATGATTAAAGTGTTTGTGTTCTCTTGACTTTTGTTTGCTGTTCATACTGCACATTCAGGAACCTTTTTGGGGTACTTTGACACCACAAGCACTGCAGTAAACATTTCCCATGCTAATATTGTGCATTATTGCATCACGCTTACAGGATATGTAGCCACCCTGTATACATCTGCAGAGAAAAACACTCTGATTTACAGGTTTTAAACAACCTTTTTTTTTTTATTTCAACTGTTGTTGGACAACAGTGCCTTACAGTGAAATAACCTTACATTTAGAATTGTACATGGACAAAATGTGAGAAAACAATCTCAAGTGATGCTGAACGCTTTAATTTTTAAACACCTGCAGCTTTTGTATTCCTTGCAAACTCTATTACATCATTATGTATTGCCGTTTCCCCAGTTCTTGAATTATTTGCATTCACTGGAGTCCCTTCAACAGTAAACTCTAAAGCATATGGCTTTGTAAGTGTTCACTGTAGACTCCTACGCTGTTATTACTGCACGTTGCTGTTATTCTCCCCTTTGCCCAGTATTGACACTGTTGTTGTGGGTTACATTATTGAAGCGCTCTCTTTCTCGGGTATTACTTAAACTTTTACCACCGCTCTCTGCTGTAAATATTTATTCACGCGCAGCACTTGTAACATTCTTGTGAAATAATATATGCACAACTCTTAAACATCATCCCTGAGGGCAAGAGACTTTTATGAGAAGTGTTGTGGATTTATTTTTTTTTAAGTAGACAGCTGCATCATCGGCCAGGCTGTTTGAAACTCAACACATTAAAGCACAGTCTTTGGAGTTTCTAGTGTAATAGGACGCTGGAACAAAAAGAAACCACTTTGTCTGTGATGAAACGTCACGTAAAAGATGACTTCAGGTGCAGTCTTGGGTTTCAGACGGCCTCCGCTGCACAGAGGAGTCAGTGGCAGTGGTGATGTTCACCCCTCCTGCTGCTTGGTGGAGATCTAAATGAATCCCTGTATGCTTTGTCATCAAGGGATAATGGCTGAGTCGGCCTACCCATTTGTCATCTTTCCTTCTCATTTTCCTCCTTTTTATTTGGCTATTGTACTTTCTCGCGGCGTCATTGTTCTGCACGACTCCGTCTATTTTTCTATTCTTTCACACTCGCTGTCTTCCGTTATACCTCTGCTTCCTAGCTCACATTCATGAGCATATGGGCCGACCCGGGCACACTGGGGAGCACAAACACAAGCATCGAGCACGTGCACGGCCATATTTATGACTCTTCTCATCAGCTTCTTTTCCGAGGCTATCATGTGTTCATCGCTGCTTTTAAAATGCAAGCCCCATTGGCTCAGAAGTAGGGGAATGGCAGATGAAGGGAACAGAGCACAGTAAATGTCTGTCGGGGAAACCAAGGGACACTTGTGTTGGCTGAGGTTCCACCCACTCTCTCCTCGCTTGTGTGAAATCTTCCCCCTCGTTCAGGGTCCTTGTAATTCCCTGCACATCTCCTCTGCCCGAGTCCAGGATTGTAAATCGCCAGCCGCATTTAAATGTGTGTCAAGCCATTCAACGCTCCTGCAATCTACCGCTGATTCAACGGCTTCGTTCCCAACTGGAGAAACAACTGAGTCAGTCAAACAGCTTTATGGCTGGAACTCAGTCTGGTCGTGTCATCTAACAGAATACAGGGAAAGTGACACAGCTATCAAGGCTGCTGTAAATCAAGCGGCTGAAACAACAGCTATTAAATCAATGCACTCGTTCTCTACAGGCATTAAAAGATGAAGAAAGGGTCTGTGCTCGTTTTTCTATGGCTGGCGTTTATTAGTGGACTCGGTTTTGCGCTTGGGAAAAAATAAATCAGATGGAGTTGTGTGTGTAGCCGTGTACATGCAGCATATCCCACATTCCGGAGTTTTTCGTAGCCCGCTAAAATCGAGGCAACCAAAATCTAGAGAAAACAACTTTGATTAATATAATAGGTTTATTGGTGCCCTCAGATCAGGGGGGTCAAACTCGTTTTGGTTCAGGGTACATACAGCCTGATTAGATGCCGAGTGATCATACTCGCATATAATGAAATCAAATTTGATAAAACAGCATAAACGAAGGGCATTTTTGGACTTAAAATTCATCAAGTGGGTTGGATTAAAACCTCCTAGTGGGCTGGTTTTGGCCCATGGACCGTATGTTTGACACCCCTGCCTTGGATAGATCGTCTGTGCACGTACGTTGAAACGGTCTTTGGACAAAAAAAAGGACTAGCAGTACTGGTGATTATGCTTGATTAAATGTGGAATCATTTTGCAATCACAGTGCGTTTATGATTTCTAGCGTTACGCTATCTAACCATCATTCTCAAGGACGGCGTGGTGGGGCACCGTGTTTGCCGCAATTAGCAGTCCCAACACTAGTCTGCGTTTGAACCAAGCCTCGGCTAACGCGTCGGACCTCTAAATGTGACTTGCGTTTGCCACTTCTTCAGAGTGATATTGGCAGATGGATAAAAAATGATGGCGCGTTAGAGTGAAAGTAAACTCTCACCAAACACAGAGCATCTTATCAGTGTCAAGCTGAACACTGGGATGGAAATGAAACGGCGTTCTGAATAATATGCTGGCACCGTCGCTTCCAAAAGCAAATCACACCTTTTTGCCAGACAGGAAAACACAAGAGAGTGACATAGATGTTGTCCTTAATGTCCCTTAAGTTTCTTTTTCCTGACATGCAATCGCTGTCATTTTTTTGTTTATTTTCCCAGCTGTACATGAAGCCTTCCACAAAGTAGTACCGTGGGACCAGCGGAGCGTGTAAAGGAGATTAAAAACAAAGATATAAATCTGGTTTCTCTCTCTCTCTCTCTCCCTCTCTCCTCTTTTCTCTTGCTCTCTCTCTTGGCAGGTCAGACTCTGCCCCTTTGTCTTTTCTGAAATATCCTCTCCTCGTTGCTCATGGCTGCTGGCCCAGCTTTCATCATCATGGCCCGAATAAAGTCACACAGTTCTGAAGCCCAGACTGTTTATTTTCATGGATTTGCAAATGACTTGTAGATCTGCAGAAGTCACACAGAACTGCTGTTT